ACATGACTATCCAAGGAATTACAGTTCCCATGAACAAGAAAACAGTCATCCCTGAACCTGAACGGCATTTCTCGTTTTCCACAAAGATGATGATCATGGCAATCGATCTGTATGAAGATGAAGCACCTGCTAGCTTCAGCCATTTCACAGTTTTTGCTTTGAACAAGCTTCGACAATTTGTGGATAGCAGAAAGGAATTGACAGCTCAGTCTTACAGATTCTTTGTTGAACATGCCTACAATCAATTCTTTCAGCATGAAGCATTCCATCAATCTGCAAGAGCAAGGACAAAGGTCAGGGAATGCGGTTCAGGTGACTTCCACACATCTACAAAGCTCGATGGTTACATCTGGGTAGCTGGAAAGGACAAGATTGCTCACATCCCAGAATCAGAGCAACAGAATGTGGACATGGACGATCACGATGATGATGATGCTGAAGATGATTTGGAGTTTTTGCCAAGACTACAAGTTTTTGTCAGGAAAGGGGAGGAAAAGGCATCAGGCTCTCAAGAAAGAGAGGAAGAAGGTGTATGCTCTCAAGAAAGAGAGGAAACACAACCACAACAAGAAGATGAGGCATTACCAGATGCAAATCCTCGAAGAAATCTGGAAGATCGACAGGGACTGTTTTTAGTCAGGCAACTCAAACCAGAGCACAGAAGGATCCTACAGGATATTACACTTGCAGGCCAATCAATCCTCACAGAAGATGATCTTGAAGGAGGTCAGCGCCTTGAACGTGGTGACATAAGCTTCTTCGCATTATGGTTGATGATGTCGGCATTATCAGATGCTTCCTTTTCAACATTTATGGAGCAGTATGCACCTATGATGGGTTATGAGATCTCCTACGACAAGTATCATGAGTTCAAACTGGATATTGACCAAGTTCTCAGGGAGAATGAACACCTTGGCGCAGAAAATTTCTTTGGAGCAGAGGATCCTGATTTGGTGGACGATGATCCAGACACTCCTCTTCCAGATCTTCAAAGACCAGGCGCAGGTGATCCTGAGTACAAACATACTATTGAAAGTTTGAACATTGAGGACAAGCATATCGTTTTGGAAACTGATGATGACAAATTGGTTGAGTGTACATTGAAATGGATCAGTATGTGCAATCAGAATGTTCAACAAAAGATCAAGGACAGTTTTGTCAAACCAGAAGAACGACAAGAGAAAGAAGAGGATGAAGAAGAGGAGATTGCTGTCGAAGAAAAAGAAGAAGAAAAAGACACACAGGAGCCACATGTCCCAGCTGAAGGCTCTTCAGAGAAAGAGGAATCAGCTCCACCTGAACGCTCCTCAGAAAAGGAGGAATCAGGGGAGAAGAAAACAGACATTCAAGATGATGAGACAGCTCCTGAAGTGAAACCTGCAATTCGACTTTACTATGGTCAAGATATCACTGGAAACGAAGATGATTCAGTTTTTCGAAAATTGAAGGATTGTTTTTCAGATGATTACCATGGTGAATGGGCAGGATTTTACAACAAAGGTTATCCAGCGTCTTCGAAGCATCGACACATGTTTTGGCATGTCAAGTACAGAAAGACCATGTCTCCACATCAAGATTATTGGTACCATCTTACAGATGACCAGTTGATGGTTGAGTACATTGCCAGACACAAGGATCAAAATCCACAACTAGAATTACAAGAACTCAATCAGCGCATTGAATATGGTTGTAGTGATCCTAGGATGCATCCTCTTCATCAAGACAAAGCAGAAAGATCCTCAAAAGAAGCAGAAAAGAGGATTGATGACGATTTTGGAAATCTCACAAGGGTACTCCAAGATTACGTTGAGGACCACAAGGTCTTGCCCTACTGTATGATCTTGCATAGCTTGGCTTACAGGTATTTAGGTGGAGGCCTATCAGACCCAACGTACAAGGATGCTGAATTTCCATACAGATCCTCTCCACAGATAACAGCAATGTTTTGGAATTTGGGAAACTGGTGCAGAAACAGATTTGAAAAATGCCCGGTTCCAGAAAGATTTCAACAATTCATTCCACACATTGACTACACCATCGATGAGGATCATGAAAAAATTGATGAAAACAAATCACAGTTCAACAATTACTTCATCAATGTCATCAAGAACTTTGGAGGACATCTTTTCATGAATTGCGAGGCTGGTTCATTGTATCCTCACAGAGAAAGACTCAACGAGGTTGACTTTAAAACTTGCTTCAATGACTATCATGACTTGATGGTGGCAGCTCGCCTTGGAAAGGATGGCTATATCAAGCAAATTGCTGGATATCACACAGATGACAACGACACACGAGTTCGACAAGTCTCATGGGCAATCTTTGAAGTATCTTGGGGAAAGACAAAGGATCGAGATACAGATGAGATTGTTGACTTGACAAGAGCTAGGATGAGAATGACACGTGTGTGCGTTTATCACGTCGGACAGAAGTATGCATCAGACTCTGCTGGGATTGTTGGTGAGTGCTTAGCTGTTATGGCTTTTGAGTGTGCCAGATATCAAGTTGACTTCATCGCAGGTGATGGAAACAAGGCATGCTATTACAGCACACCAAAATCTCCAGGTGTCCCTACATACCAACACAGCCTTATCCAATTCTGGATCAACAGAATGGTAGGTGTTGCAACACAAGCCATGCGCAAGTATTTTGATTCATCTTGCCCTCCAATCAGGGTCAAGCATTTCATTTCTTGCAGTTATCGTGACTTGGATTTTCTTGCAACGCACTTGGATGGCATTACAACAGCAACATACACCGACGAGCTCATGAACAAGACAAATGGTAAAGGTGATTGTTGTATGTTAACAGTTGTTGAGTGGGGTCATTCACGTTTGATGTGTGAGGAACACCAAGAAGACTTTGAGGATGAAGATCACATGAACTATGTGGGTGAATTTTACTTCAAGGTAAATGAAACTTGCTTACATGGTGATCACAACATCTTCATGGTTGCCCCAAATGATCGCGATGCTCATAATCCAATTCTTATCCATCTTGATCCTTCTGATATGTCATGGAATGAACGACATCATTACAAACAGGCCTACAAGAAGAAGCAGTATGCTGATACAAGAAAGGAAAGACAGAAGGAGAAAAAGAGAAAGGCATATGAAGATCAAGCATCAACGTATCAGGGCAACACAGAGTGGGGTGGATCCTCATCTTCTTCGTCCAGACCATGGAGATCAAGCTTTTGGCTATGAGTGAGTGTATACTTCTTTAAATGAAGATAACACAGCATGAGAGGCTGTGTACAGTTTTTCTGTGCGTTCAACTTATTTCACACAGATGGCATATACTCTTTTAGATAGAGATAATGCCACAAGTGTCTGAACTTCAATTTAATGTAGAATAGAGACTCTTGTAAATAGAGATACTATATACATTTATCTCCATGAATCATCCGGCGAGCAGACCAATCCGAATGGAGCGAACTCCAAAAATTACCAACTTCGATTTCAGTCCATTGTTTGCTTGAATGAGCAACTTTGGAGATCCGCTATTTCCGTTTATTTCGTGATTTGGTCAATTGTTTTTCGTATGACCTGAATTTCTGAATCTTGCGAACTCGAACTTTTCAATTCGAACTTTCACCGGTAGAGCGAGGCATTCTACGCTACGCGCAGTTTTGGACAGGTGAGGGTCTCAGATTCTTTCGCAAAACTCCAAAACGGAGAACTCTCCAAACAACGTAAACGCAAATCAATCTCGAACATCCACAACTGAAACTTTCGAAATCCACATGAAACTGCAAAACAAGGAAACCACAAAATCAGCCATGCACAAAACTCAAGATGGATGAACTGGAGGATCACTCGGACACTCGCACTTTTCTCTGGGTGGTGAGGTCTTGCGCGACTCCACTAAATGGTTGCTGCAAATTCCCCATTGTATCGAGATGCGCCTCGATTTGTTGTCAATGCCATCTCGGCAATAAACGCAAAACATCCAGCAGTCGTACTGACACTGTAAAGGGAGCCCTTAGGCCAGAAATATTGCAGCAAGCCAGTTTTGAGAAAGGAGAGGATCGTTCAGGAACCTCTCAAAGAAATCCAGTTCACGCAAGTATAGTCCAACCTCACCCCGCTCAGGGTGGGCTGGGATGGGTACCTGAAATTCTTTGATAGCCCAAGCTTCGTCGGAATATAAATATTGTATGACTTCCAGTGACATGAACTCCACGTTCAACTTGTTTCCAATTTGTTTCAACTCAAGCAACCGACAAATCTTTGAATAAAAGCAACGTTTGAGAAAGACAGCAAAGCACAGGCAACCAAACTGTATTGAACTGCATCTCCTGAAAATAAATCAAGAAGCAACTTCGTCTGAACATCTTCCAAAAGTGTCAAAGCAAAAACGTCTTTTGCAGCAGTCAGTAAAACCAAATAAAGTGAACCTTCGCGACATCCACGAACCCACTGAGGCAATGGGCAAGAACCCAAACATAAAGCTCCACCCACCCACCCGGCCAAAACTGTGCTTCACATAGACACACTGAGCGCGCCCAGTGGAGCCTACGCTACGCACAGTTTTGGACAGGTGAGGGTCTCAGATTCTTTCGCAAAACTCCAAAACGGAGAACTCTCCAAACAACGTAAACGCAAATCAATCTCGAACATCCACAACTGAAACTTTCGAAATCCACATGAAACTGCAAAACAAGGAAACCACAAAATCAGCCATGCACAAAACTCAAGATGGATGAACTGGAGGATCACTCGGACACTCGCACTTTTCTCTGGGTGGTGAGGTCTTGCGCGACTCCACTAAATGGTTGCTGCAAATTCCCCATTGTATCGAGATGCGCCTCGATTTGTTGTCAATGCCATCTCGGCAATAAACGCAAAACATCCAGCAGTCGTAGTGACACTGTAAAGGGAGCCCTTAGGCCAGAAATATTGCAGCAAGCCAGTTTTGAGAAAGGAGAGGATCGTTCAGGAACCTCTCAAAGAAATCCCACCTTCAGAAGAGGTGACTGAATGAGGACCCACCGACCATCACCATGGTGACTTGTCCACATTTCCCTTGCGCAACTTTGGTGCCACTTTGGCGGCCTCTCTTGCCGCGTCCCTCGCAAGATCAAACTCTGTCCTCGTCCTCACCAATTCCATCAAGACAGACAACTCTAAACTGCTCCAAGTCAACACCACCCTCTGATCCTCCCTGAAGCCTGAAAACTCTTCATTTGTTAGTTGGTCAGCCTCCGTGTTCTCTTCCCTCGGCCTCCACTGAAGGCCTAATGACAGCCTAGCCCTCGTGAGCGCTGCTGATAACTGCATGTTCACTGCCATCAACGGCCACTTCGTCGTTGAGCGTTTGGTCGATAAGGCCTGGTTGGCCAAGTTGTCTGTACCCGCAACCAAATGTACTTCTAAAGTCTTCCTTTCCATTGTTTCCTCAAGCCAACCAAACGCATGTAGGGCAGCCAACGTGGCTAAGAGTTCAGCTGCCGTAGATGCCCACTGTGAAGCTCCATCAGGCTTGAAAAGGAAGGGAGCCTCCGCTGGCCCAATACGCAAACTGAACCACCTCTTTGACTCAAGCTCCCAACCCCCAAGGACAATGTACCCGTCAGCGCACTTTGCATCAGTACGGAACCTCTCACCAGTTATCATTTGTGGCCAACGTGTTGAAACCATGTATGACCCTGTTGTCAGCTGAACTTCAATGTACCTCAAGGTCAAAATGATTGTCTCCGGCAAGCGCCCAACTGTGCCCCTCGCAGTCACTGCTGACCAGGCATAAAGTGGCGCCAAGTGGGGCTTCAACCAAGTGATGAGTTGTGAAATGAAACCAAGCCGCCCCAAAAATTCAGCGAACTCCCTGGCTGGTACCACATATCCATTGGATCTCACCTTTAAGATCCACTGCACCAGCCAGTCACCTCGCTTGACTGTGATCCCAACTTGGGACAAGTCATATCTGATGTGGTATCCAACAAACTCAGAAGCGAACCCCCCTTTGAACTTGTGGTATCCGAACGGTGTGCCCACCATCTCAAACGCCAGGACCCAAACCCATAGATGCAAGAACTTCTCGCACCCCACAAACGCACCATGCAAATCGTCAACGTAAATCATGTGCATCAACCAGCGCTTGTGGAACATGTGGCCAACAAACCTCCCAATGAGACCAGCCAGCTTCGCCCACCAGTATGGTGCACTTGCCACACCGAAAGTGCCAGTGTGGTTAACCCAAACTGTGCTGGAACCTGAGTCTGCACGGCAACACAAGTAACCCCAATCGCGTCTTCTAATCTTGACCAACCTGTGAGCAGCTTTAATGTCGGCGCTCACGCAAAAGGGGGCCTCTCCAGTTGATGTTGCCTCGCGCACGATAGAGGCTATTTCAGCAGGGCCCGGACAATCTATCTTGTCCCTGTAAACAATGCTGTGGTTCACCATCACCGAGTGGGTGGCGTCATGCAAAGGCCTCACAGTTCCGTCTGGCTTCATGATTGCAGCCATCGACGCCACTCTCAAAGAATCTCCAAACTCCTGTTTAAGGACACCCAGCTTAGAGGGATGCATGCGGCCCAAACTCTCCTCCTCCCTAAACTTGTCCTCAAGCTCCTTTGCCGAAACTTGGGCAGAAGCATAGTTCTCTGCAATCGGCACAAACTCTGTTTCATCCAGCTTTCTATGTTTCAGCTTGGGAGGAAAGACCTGCGGTGATCTCGGTAGCTGCTTGTCAACCCCAACGAAAACCCCAGAAGCAAATGAATCCTCAACGTCAGTCAACCAGTGAACATCTGGATCATTGAAACGCTTGAGCCACTGAGAAAGTGCCCTCAAATAAAATGGTTGTCCATCATCTACCACGGCCGCACTCTGAGGATCATCCAGCAATGCAAACCACTTCGATCTGACCCTCTCCAGACAACTCTCGGAGAAAGGTGACTCAAGCAACTTGCCTGTCACCAGTTTGAAAGCTTCTCGCCGCACATCCTTAATTTCTGCAGTAACAGCATCTGCAAGAATCTTGTAAGTATCATCAGCCAACTTGACCATATCCGATGTACGTCCATCCCCTCTCCTTGAAGGTTTCCACCTGCATGGACTGCACAGCCCAAAACCATCGATAAAACCTCTCCGGACCGTGTCCCACTCCACACCAATTGGTGTACCAGAATTGCAACAGGCTGCCAAATCAAATTCATCGCTTCCATTGTCAGGCCACTTCTGTTCATCATCAATGCTTTGTGACCCTGCATCCATGTTACTCTGTCGCGCGGGGGACTCCCCCATTTCTTTTCCAGAATCCTCAACCTGCTTGCAACCTCGCTCCCCTGAAACCATGCTATGTTTGGCAACTGAGCTGGACTGCAACACCAGCCCTGTTGAAGGCTCAGTATGGCCAGATTGTAATCTCCTTCTCTTGCCAGGAGCCTGAACTGACTCATCGACCAACCCCCTTCCGAAGGATGCCTTAGCATGCAAGATGAGTCCAGCCAAAAATTCACACAACAACGGTGGGTATGATGCACTCGGTGCAGTGTTCCATTGTGAATCTGTTTACCAATCAGCTTGTGGGAGTGCTTATGACCGCACTGTCGAGGCAATGGCCCCTTGTAAAATCCAAACTTGTCAAACTTTGGCAACGCACAATAACATCGTGAATCGTCCACTGTCATGTTAGTGAGAAATCTTGTAGGTTTGGGCGTCATGGCCCCAAAATTGCACTGATGCAACGCAAAGCTCACAGCTCCCAACTTGGGAATCAACTCCAAAAGCTCCGTTTACTGCCAGATGGATCCAGGGCGTTCTCCTCGAACAACGCCTAAATCTTCAGGATGCTCCAACAAAAATACGCCACCAAACTCCGCTGCAATTTCACAAGCTGCTAAACACCTGTCAACAAACAAGTTAGCCTCTTCCACCTTCTGCATGTCACGGTTCTTGAGCCAAGGAAAACCTCTTGGCCAGGTCACATTTCGAAGAGGCTTCGGTCCAGGATGCTGCAATTGAAAACGTGCTCTGCTGAATGTATTGCAAGGTGGTGAAACAATGAGCACCCAGTCACCTTCCTTCAAAAGGTCACCAATGCGCTCCCACAAGTTCTCGTCTGTCAAATCATGCTCTGGTGAACGCTCAATGTCGAATTCCATCAACTCCAGTCTGAAACCTTTGGATTGTGAGGCCTTCTTCAAGAATGACCCTATATCAGAATGGCGTTGACGCCCAGCAAAAAGGTACATCACTTTGAGCACCGGGGTATCATCCCCAAGAACAGTTTGCGCAGCTTTGCTGGGTATGGCCGCACTGCTGTCCTGTCAAGCAGCGGTCTTGGCATGATCCACCGCCTTGTGGCTGGCATAGCAACCTTTGACTCTGCACTGATGAACTCTGCCGCAACTGCCATCACAATCCCCTGCATTCCAAGCAAAACAAAGTTCACGTTGGTCAGGGTCCTCCAAGCCAGACTCAATCCCTTAAGACGTGGGTCTGCAGGCTTGCCTTTCGACTTGCCCTTTGATCCTTTCCCTTTTCCCTTTGTGAAGGGTGCAAACTGCTTGCCACTGAAACTGCCAGACCCACCCTTGTTGTTGTAGCGCAAGAACTTGTTAGGCTGTGCTTCAGGCATCGATGCACGCAATGCCATGGGCGTTGTAAAGTACGCCTCTTTGAGGTCCGGGTCCTTAATGACAGCCTCCAGCGCGTCAGATAGGGTGTGCCCAGACAACACCTTTTTCATCGCTTCCTTCCTGAGCTTGTGCTCGTAAGCCAAAACAATTGCAGTCAGGCTTGACACGTTGTTGAGCTGTCTCTGAAGATGTTGTTGGGATCTGCAACCCATGTCCAGTCAGGCTTGACACGTTGTTGAGCTGTCTCTGAAGATGTTGTTGGGATCTGCAACCCATGGCACACGATCACCCAAAATATACTCGGTGAACTTTTGAAACGGTGTCGCTGTCAATCCATGCAACCAATGCTTTGCTTTGTAACGTGAAGACATTGCAAGCCATGCGTATGTCTCCACCTTCATCACCTTTCTGTATTCCTCCGTTGACACCGGCATCTTTGCCTTGGTCTTGGTCCTGGTGACCCTGATGTGGCCTGTATTGTCCACCGCCGACTGGATCTGTGAATTGGAAGAAGCCTGCTTGCTCAGTATCTCGTCCAGCGGTGCTGCTGTCGGCTCAATGCACTCTGTCTCCTCAGCCTTCAAAGAAAGGTAGTCGGAGGACGGGCACTCAGAGTCGTTGAGCTGGCCATGTACTGCCTCAACAGCTCTCAGCATAGCCTGCCTCTCATGTACTGAAGCACCCTTGGTTGGCCCAGCACTTTAGCTTCAGCCTTCAACTCAATCTCTTTTGCCATGTACTCCTTCGCCGTCTCCCAAGCTGCAACGACACAGATGTGCCATACTGGACTGGGGATTATCGGTGGCCTTTACTCCCCAAGATAAACCGCCCCTTGCTATTGCCATGATAGTGACCACCAATGGCACACGAGCGTGGAGACGATATCGACTGGTGGTGGCATGCAGAGACAGGCTACGGCTTCCCTCTAATGTCCTCGCAGCGCCCTATCAAGCTGCCCAAGTCACGAAGCGTGGAGAACCTGATGGCTAGTGCTGGCAGGTCGCCAACTCCTGCTCAGACAGGAAATTTCGAGGATGAGGTTGACTTCGGGGATCCGAGCCATCGAGCCCACACCCAACTGAGTGTGAAGAAGAAAAGAGCCGAAACTCCAGCCAACGGCTCAGTCGTGCCAGAGATCGGCTGACAAGCGAGCTACCGCTGAAATATCAAAACCGGTGGCCACCAAAGGTGTCATCCTGGTCAGTGAAGCCTTCACGGAAATCAATGCTGGACTGGTCATTGTGTTAGCGTCTCGACATCGCAGCCCAATTCCAGAGTCTGACCTGGGACGAGCTTGCCACTATTGCCAGCACTGCCTACCGTGACCATGTTGAAAGCTACCTATCGACCACCCAACCGCCTTGTGATACTGAAACTGCTGTCTCTAGTGGATTGCTAGGATCGATGTGCGGCTGATTAGTGTCATGCTTGGAGCATATTGGGACAATGGTCAGGCTTGGTCACGTTTCCAGTGCCTGCAACGGGGCAGTGGCCTCACTTGCGAGGAATCCTTGATGGATTCCAAGGCAGACTGCCCAATTTTCATAAGTGGGCCCGGCCCGCCTATGAGCAAGGAGCCCTGCCAACACTCAGTCTCCTCCCAGGTGAAGTTGCGATTAGAGTGCTACCAGGAGACAAGATCTACCAGGCTATGGAGATTGAACCGGGCTTCATGAGGCCTGTCATATTGCATGGCTTTGGAACAAGGGCCAAGCAACGGCTACCATCGCGACTTGAGGAATTGGCGCAGTTTGGCTGGTTACCATTAGCAGCAGCCTTGTTTGGGACAGCAGAGTGGCAGCCACAATGGCTCCACCACAACTTTCTTCCGGTCATAGGCCTGCGTGTCCATGCAAAGACTCCTCCGTCTCCGCTGTCGTATCAGCAGCTAGTGGCGTTACTAGGGTTGTGGGAACGAAGACCTGCCTTGGGAACTCCGTGCCGGCATTTGGTCTCCCAACAGCCTTTCGTGCACCAGAGGAGTAAACAACATCGTGAAAGGAGAAGTCTTCGATCTCGTGCAGTGTTCCCAGCGGATCTATACGGGTGAGGCAGCCAACACGTCGCAAGCTCCGCATTCTCTGGTTGACCGACCGAAGAGATGGACACAGTGGGTGTTCTCGATGAATAGCCTGTGGCAAGAGAACTCTCCTATGCCAGATCGACCTCTCACAGTACACTGCAGTGGACTGGGAGGCGGACTGCTAAGCCCAGATCATGATTACGACCTGTTCTTCCAGAACCATGCGCAAATGAAAGTGTATGGCCCGTCGCTGGCAATAACAGATGATTGGGAGCAGCGCATCACCCAACTCGGGTTGACCAAAACAACGCATGAGTATGCAATCTACCAGCTTTTCTCCACTGCCGTGGGATGGAGTGCATGGAAGGAATTTTTGCCGGATAGATTTGCCAACCTCAAGCTCTTGATCACCCGTGCCATACGGCTATTGACTGCGGCAACCATCCGGCCAGCACATGCGAGACCTCCCCACCCCACATGGGTCACGGCAGTTCGTCAAATCTTCAGATGCTACCATCCACAGGGCAAACTGCTGTTGGTGCGATGACAGCTTCCATCCCAGACGGTATAAGAGACATTGATGTTCTTGGCTTTTCGGCGGGATCGTACACTGGATTGGCAATCCACAAAGTGCTCAATGAGATCGATTGCTTCCCAGGTACCACAAAGGTTGCTGCAATTGCCACTCCGCCAGAAATGCTGAGGCTGACAACTGGGGAACGAAGAGTGGTACTTCTACATTGCCTTGAAGATCGACTCTGCGTGTGGCACCCTGCCACCCTTACAGACCTTAGCTATAATGTCGTCCTCATCGACGGTCAGCCTTCCTGGAGTGGCCGAGCACGACATGCGTATGGACATCTACCGTAGCCATTTGGCTCAAGCTCAAGAAACATCAAGTGATCACAGATAGTGTCACGTGACGCTTGTGTCAGGGGTACAGCTGCGGGGCGTTGGCGGTGCCGCGGGCCCCACGTCTTCGAACCTCTGGTGTGCTCCCTCCGTCTGCTTGCGCCCCCCAGCTGCTGCCTCCATCGCATGGCGCGGCTGGTGCGGATTCTGCTTCTCTACTGGGCTTGCCAGGAGGGTGGGCATCACTTCCCCGCCACGTCCGAGCAATTGGCTCCCAGCTCCAACTCCTCCCTCTTGTCCTTCGCAGCACGTGCCGCGCATTGGGAGGAGGGCACGGCGAGAAATTGACCAACGCCCTCAATGCTTCCTGGTCCGGCATCCGGATGCCTTCGAGTTTGCCCGCCCGGCAGCAGCGACTTCGTCGACGCTGGGGCTACCGGGGGGTGCGAGTCGGGGAGGCTTTGCACCCGGGGCCATCCTCTGGCATACCCTTGCACCCCGCTATTGGTCGCGGCCGGTCCCCGAGCCCTGCTAATGATGAGGCACGCCTCTCCGACGCCGGGTAGCTCCACCACCTGATGTGGTGCGGTGCTTTTGCCCAGTCCCTGGTTACGGGCATGCTGACGCCACTCGGGCCAGCGGGTGGGGCTCTCACGACGCAATGCGGCATCACCTTGACGCGGGTGCAGTGCCCATGGAGTACTTGGACGCCCATCGCCTGGACCTTTGCTGTGTGTGGGCTGTTAGTGGCGCGCCGGTTCAACAGTGTTCATTCCAGATGTCGTCCACGTGCCCGCCAGCAGTTACCTAACCACAGGCCCGCCAGCCTGATGGACGCGGAGCTGCCCTCCCTTGACGGCATCATGGAGCTGGATGTCCCGACTCTCCGACATGCCCTCATGTTGCTTCGGGTGCGTGGCCACAATGCTTGGGCAGAGCCGCCAGCGCCGCTGCTGTTTCCAACACAGTGCCAGCTTGGCAGGAACTCCTCATGCTGCCAAAAGCCGTTCTGGTGGCGCCAACTCGTGGCGGTGCCCGCCACCATCAGCAAGCTGCTCTTGCCATGTTGCGTCGCTGTCAGCGATGGCTGGCTGGTGAACGAATAGACTTATGGGAGGAACTTCGGACTTGGCTCCAGGCCACTCGCTCAACCGCTGAGAGCACTACTGCTACCCAGCACTCTCGATGCTGTGCTTTGGCGGCTGAGGGGGAGTTATCACGTGCATGTGCGGCCTTGACTAAGTCCGCCCCGCTACCTCCTTCACAGGCCACCTTTGAGCAGCTGTCCGCCACCCTTAGAGCGCACTGCCTGACGTCTTTGGCACCGCAGGCTGACCTCTCGGCTTTCCTGCCTTCGTTTCAAGTCAGGCGGCCTGGCATGTTTGACCTAGAAGGCGGCCAAATGCTTGGAAGCTGGCTGCGCTGCCGGACTCTCAGGTTAGGCTCCAACTTCTTCGCCATTGCGTTTCCTTCACAAAAATGGTGCACAGCATGCGAACCACTCCTCTGGGGGCTGATACCTCTGCGCTAGCGGCTTTCGACCAACAACACCGTGGGTGCCTGGAACACTTGGAGTGTTTCTCTGTCTCAGACTGAACTTGGCACCAAGCTACTCTTGGTCTTAAGCAAGGCGGCTCGGATTGCGGCAGTGCACTGTCCATGCCCCGGCTGCTAACTTGGCATCCGTGGCCGCCACCCATGAAGCTTGCAGGAGCCTCGATGGTCGGTACACGCCTGATTGGCCTTCTTCTGTGCAGACGGCGGCCGCGTTTGATGCTGCCGTTCTTGCTTCCGACCGTTTCCATGGAGTTCACCAACTCCGGCAGCAAACCTTGTCGGCGGCCTTGGACAAGGTCCAGCTTGTTCAGCTTCAGGTGTCGGCCGAAGGAGAATCCGAGCGGGCACACCTTCAACTTCTTGGGCGTTGGCACGGCCAACCGACAAGGGCGCTGCGAAGCAGGAGGCGTCGTCTGCTGGGGGCAAGCGCCGGAGCACGGCTCTTGCGTTTGCAAGGTCTCAGACAAGGCTTGAAGCAGCTGCTCAACGCCCTGGGACGCCGTCAGCCCGATGCAAGCTCCATGCAACGCCCCAAGTTTTTTCCAAGTGGCAGAAGCGGTGGGGCCCCACCTACCACAGCAAGCTTCAACCACAAGAGGCACGAACTGGAGGCCTTGGCTGTGGCAGTGCTGCTCCGTGTTCTGATGGGCTCGCTTTCTCCCTTCATAGTTGGTGGCAGCAGACCGACCACACGCAGCGGAGGCCACTGAGCCTAGCATGCCACTCGTGGCGGCGAGATCAAAAGCTGCTAGCCTATAGGCTCCCCATGCAGGGATGTAAACATCAGCCGGCCGTCGCTGTGACGGGTCGCAGCGACTGCCAGATTCACTATGCTGTTGCGTGGCTTGTCCCGTGTCAACTGATCTTGCTCTCTTCTGTGCAGGAGCAATTGGACTGCTCGGGATTGCTGCCGGCTGTCGGCTTTCATCTTCAGTGGAGTCAGGCTCAGCACATGACAGCCACAGCCCTTGAATCTCGAATAGTGTGACTGGCACACAGTCACTATCGATGAGAGCAAAGTTGATGTCTGGGAAGAGAAACACACACGCATCCAAAATATAGGTTCCCGCCCACGTCGGGTGCACCTTATCCAGACCAGTGTCTGCCGATATAGGCACAAATACAACTGTGGTACGTTCACCATACGGGCCCACATATCGTATACGCTCCTTCCACCACGCAGCGACCACAGGCCAGTGACTTAGCCCTGCGGTGCTGGACACA